CGATGGGCAAAATAGATAAAGGGAATTAAGAGTGCGCTTCTACTGATGAGCACTGAGAGATGTATAGAAGTGTTGAATCGTTGAAATGTACACCAGAAACTAATTTAACACTGTATGTTAATTGTACTTGAATTTTAAAAATTTACATAAATAAATAATGCTTCTAATTGTTAAGGTTATAGATCGAAAGATAAGGTCATAGATCTAGTTTCTTTCCCCTCTAGAATGGAGTTAAAATATTTCCTTTATATTTAGAAAACACTGGTAACATTCATTGGCTTTGCTTGGGAATACTGTCTCCTGAAAACAGTCCTCATCTGCAGGTAAAAGGAAGAGAAGGCCACGCGCACTTTGGTTTCTACAACACAGTGACATTCTTAAAACCAGAAATGACATGTACAAGTAGACTAAAGAACCAGAAAATATGTGCTTCCATCTGCTCTGCTTAAATCTTCCTGAAAATAGAGATCAGAGAGAAAAATGAAAAAAAGATTAATTCCTTTTAAAAAATAAGTTTTCTACCTATGGATTGGTTCATTTTCAAAAGGAATTAGATTCTGGGCCCACATATCACCCATTCAAGATACAACGTGTGCTCTCACCTCCCACTAAATATGTTGCTATGACTTTTAAATGGAGGGAACATTTAACAAGAAGCAACCTAGGGAAGGGAAGATCTAACACAGACATCAATAATTCATTTATCAGAAATAGGAGTAGTGGTATGAAATGCCAGGAGACTCTTTCATTTGTAGGGAGGCATTTTCTATTTTAAGCCTAGAACAATAAAGTCACCTTTACTCGACAAGCTAATACGAACGCAGGCAAAGCTGAACGGAAGGACAGCTTTTATGGTCTCCTCTACTGAACTATTTCTTTATGCACCTCTTATGGGGGATGTGAAAGAGTGACAAAAAAGCAATTTTTATAACTTTTGTACTTCTGCAGTGATTTCCATCACCCAATAAATAGCTTTAGCACTAGGAATGTAATCATGTCAGTCTAAAAGAGATGACTGGCATGGAGTTCTGAGGGTGCTTTCTCTCTCTGTACTAAAACCAATCCGGCATTAGGGCTTCTCAAGTCATCTACCAATTAAATCCATTAGGTCGGAGCCCAAGTTTTTTCATCCCGTAACCCCCAAGCATGTAGCACAGAGCCATTCACAAAGCAGGATCTCGCGAAGTGCCGTGGAATGAATGAACAGATGTAGCTAAGCAGGAAATTATTCCAGATACGCCCTGGAGCCTACTGGTCAGGTCACACAAAGAGGAGGTGTCCGCACAGCAGATGCCTGAACCGCTTCATTCTGACGACGATTAGAAATTTCTCCCCTTCGCTATCTGGCACCAGATTCAAAGACTCGTGCTCTGCTCCAGGAGGTGGGGAAATGGAACTATAGAAAAGCAGATTTACTGTAGACTGAGTGAGTCACCGCTCTCGCCACCTAAAGCAGCAGAAAAACCTACCGAAACCACTAACCTCGGAGATAGAGACCTCTAAGTCTTACATTAAATCTCAAATATTCATAGGTACATATATTCTGAGGTGACCGTGATTTTCAATCGATTATGTATCAAGAACTAGACAGAGGAATAGAACACATAATTTATAGTAAAGCTGTAATCATAATTATAAATTATCTAGCGCCTAATACGTAGTCAGTTGTACGTCTGGTGTTTTAGGTATTTTACTGCTAAACTGCGGAAGTATTATTATAGTAATTTAAGAGATAAAAACAACAACAACAAAAAGGAGGAAAGCTCAGAGGACTCAGGCCCAAAGATTATAAAGCTGATTCAGGAGACCCTAAACTAACGGTCAGCAATTCTGAACTACAAAGTCACTGCTAATTTCCTGGTGCCAAGTGACTTCTATTCCAACAGAATTATCTAGCTTAAAGACAGATTCATCAATCACATCTATAATTATGGTCTAATGAGCAGAGAGGATATCTTAACCTCAAATGCCAGAGTACATGGCTTGCGTTTGGCCAGGAAAAAATCAGGGGGCACTCCTGAGAGGAGGTAAAGGGACGTCTGTTGTCCCAGGTCACGCTCCTAAAACAGAGGTAGGGAATGCTGGTGGTGTACCTCTGAAAATGCCATATTTCACTGTCAAGACTACAAAGGCAAGCCCATACCAGGAACGATGCCTGTGTGCTCCGAGAACCAAACCCATGCGGCCCTCAATGAACCCTGGACCATACTTGGAAGGGGTTAAAACAGGGCACACCAGAGTAAGCCAGAGCGAGCAGAACCATGGCCATGCTTCTTGAGAACAGGTCTTGGAGAGGGCCAAGTTCGAAAGGAATCCTCGCAAAGGATACGGTTTCTTAAAGGCAGCCTGTAAAAAGTCATCCAAGCCAACACTCCAAGAGCTGTCTCTGTGAAGCAGAGCCTCTGTGGTTCGCAGTGTTAGTCACACGTCTGACACGCCCTGGGAAATAGTCGCCATCATCACGGAGAGTTTCAATGCAAAAACTCACCACATGTGAATTCAGGCAAGATGGTCTATAGGATATGATTTGTTTCTGGTTGCTACCTGTAGCCGCTCTTGCCCCTCAATATCCTGCCCCAAAATACCCTGGGTGTGAACATGATTGAGTCTTTCCTGTAGCTTTCCTGTCCCTCTTTGCTCTCTACAAATGTTGGTGGAATAAAGCAAATGCATGGATATAGTATCGTACCATTCTCCTTAAGGCTTGCCTCAGAAACACAGATTTCTCCCGATACCACTGATGTACTGGAGAGCAGTGTAAGCGTAATGTGACATTTACATGTGTTGATGCACAATTTGGTTCTAGAAACTCTCAGTGAATGTAGAAAACGCATCGCCATGGGAATACAAACCCCGCACAACTACACACCCGAGCAGCGCCGTGCTCCACACTGGTCCACATTTGAAGCTGCGACTCCCTGGGTTCGAGTACCTCACCTTCCACCTTACGGTACACTGGCAAGTTGCCATGATTCCCAAGGCTACTGGGGGGGCCGCGGGAGGGGGTGTCCTCCATTTTGTTTCGTTTTCCCCTCTCCTCTCAACTGATTAATTTTCCTCCCTATTCTTTGTTCTTTTTTCAAAATTTTCATCTCTTTTTCCCCCCCTCCTTTTTTTCTCTTGCACACAAAGCGGCAGCCGTGGGAGTAGGATCAGACGGAATGGGCACACACTTCCACAAGCAAACTTCAGGTGTTTTTCTAGATAAAGTGGTGCATTTATTATAACTTTACATATCTCATAACCATTTAACATGGGTACAACCGGGTTATTTTTTTAAAATAGGTCCCTACCATTTTTTGTGTGTGCATCACCAATGAAGTCTTTGAGGGCTGAGCTCAAATTTCACAGTCTTATACTTGGCAGTTTTAGATTTTGCAGAGCACAAGTGTTTTTAGGGAGGCCTATGTCGCACTACAGTAGAATGATCTGTATAGCGAAACTTATCAGTGGAGACTTTTTGGTATTGAAGCTTCAAGCTTTGGGGCACCTGGGTGGCTCAGTGGGTTAAAGCCTCTGCCTTCAACTCAGGTCATGGTCTCAGGGTCCTGGGATCGAGCCCCGCATTGGGCTCTCTGCTCCGTGGGAAGCCTGTTTCCTCCTCTCTCTGCCTGACTCTCTACTTATGATCTCTGTCTGTCAAATAAATAAATAAAATCTTTAAAAAAAAAAAAAAAGAAGCTTCAAGCTTCTTTATCAGTGTTTCAGGCTAGTTCATAAACTAGGTTAAATACATTAGTTCACATTGCCTCACATTATAATTTAAACAGTGTAATCTGGACAGCAATGGCCAGGACTGAAAGAAAGCTATCCAGTTTAATTCAGACTCCTTTGTTTTTTTGTTTAGAAGGCTCTGAAAAATACTATCAAAATCAATTTATGCACTAATGTTTTTACCGCTCAATCTGCTCTGTAATGTTTACCAAATTATTAGCAAACAGCACGCTTTCCACAGTAACTTTCTTGAAGCTTCTTTGGAGATGGTGAAAAGAGGAAAAAAAGACAAAGAAGAAACCCACGTGCAGTCACAATTATCTAGGTCAGATGATTTTAGCTAAACTTACTGAGTTAGTTCATCAGATCAAACTTGCTGAGAAATTTTTTCCTGAAGAAAAACACAGGCTGGAAATCGTACGTAATAAATGGGCAAAACACCCCTTTTTGCTACTTTTGAGATTCCAGACTAAAACATGGAAGTAAAAATCAAAATGATAGCGTTTCAATCATAGCATTATCCTGGAGGAGGTTTGCAGTAAAAGGAAAAAAGCTAATGTGATCCAGAGATTAGAAATATCTACTAATCCTTTAAAGAATCTGGGTCATCTTAAGCAAGAAAAACCATTCCCATTTACTTTCTGAAGAATGTTAAGATATTCCATGGTATCAAATGGTTGTGTGTTTTCATCTGCTCTCACAAGAACTACTGTACTGACTGGAGAGTGGAAAAGTGCTTAAATGGGTTTCTATGACTCTTGAATGTGAAGATAAGAAAGGTAATGGGTTCTGTACATGGTGAACCTTATAGGTATTTCACGTCTATTAGTGGAAAACACAATCACTACAGAACAGAAGAACAGAGCAGCTAGTAAGAAAGCCCCTGGCAGAGACCTCAAGCAAAGGAGTCAACCCAATTTGTTGAATTTAACCCAATAAAGTAACTTTTGGGGGGTATACTTTGTTTTGCCTTTCCCTTTAGCACCCCATCCCCCAAAACGGTTCAGGGGCCAATTACCTCATGAGAGGCAGTATTCCCCAGCTGTGCCCTCAAGATATGGAAATGCTGAGTCATTCCCCAGGGTTCTCTCTGTGACCATTCTTACCATGGAGACCACCCCCTTTTGATTACCCAGAAGCTTCAGTGGAAGGACACCTGTTCACCTTGGAGCAAATTTACAGATCATTTGTTACCAAGGCTTTCTAAGGCAATACTTCCCTCAGCAAGAGTAGAAAACAAAAATCCTTGGCAGCCACAGGCCACCCACCCTTTAGCTGGGCCTTACTTGTTCTCGTTGCTTGCATCATATCGAGGCATTGGGTCCAGGTCATTCCCATTCACGTCACAACTCGCCAGGGCATCCTACAGCCGCAGAGGAGAGAACAAGAAAGAGGAGGAGACAGACGTTTAGTAATTAGCCATTAACCTGAAGGCTCATGCATTCTTAAACACATTTCTGCAAGAGAGTAATTAGATTAAATAATACATTCATGGTTCGGTGGTGTCAGGATGCCTTGTTCAGTAATAATCACTGTTGTATTTTTTTCCTTAAGGTGAAGACATACTCTCCACAGACCAAGGAAGAACCCAGACGATTGTTGCCAACACATTTTCCCTCATCTCTGGAACTGACCTCTCACCCAATTCCTCTGAAGAGGTCCCCAGTGACCACCAAGTATTCTTGGACTCTCTAGAAGCCAAGTGATTTATTTTCCAGGGATTCTCTCTCTATTCCTTGCTTCATTTCAGGAGTGTGCAAATTCCTGGTAATTCAAAGATTTTGGAATATAATTCACAAATAACTGGCCAGCCAATTAAAAATCAGTATTAGAAATTTATTATATTGGGTTATCGTCGTATCTCCATCAGGCAAGAATTGTCTGGTTCCAGATGTTGTAACTATTATAGAAGAGTCTGTAATTCAGACTTTTTACTAATAACCAGTGACCCTCTGCCCCAACCAAAATAAAGAACACAGTTTTATTGTAGGTCAAGGCTTCAGAATGAGGCAAAAGCATCTGTGAAGCCAAAGCTGGGTCTGTCTGCTTTTAAAAGTGATTGTGAAATATCTCTGGATTCCTACATTTCTTTCTTTCGATTTTCTAAATTTCCAAAAACAAATTACTGGCTTATACTTTTACTCCAATTTAAATCACAGTAGGTAGGACTAATTTAGAAAGTTTTGTATTTTCTGATGCTTTAGGGTAACTCCTGATTTCAGTTTTAGTGAAAGTCAATGCTATCTTTGTTTTCAGGCTTTATCAAAGGCTCTGGTTTCTGGAAATAATGTGTAGTACCGAAGAGTCTGATAGCGGGAGAAATTACGTAAAATCCACTGGACATACAAAGGTGGTAGGTAAGTCCCTGCTTCTCATACAACGGTGGCCCCACAGCGCCCCCCGCCATACGGGTCACTAGAGCATGAATGGTATCAAGTGTAACCGACTAATTTTACTTGCAAGGAAAGAGAGGCTTAAGACAGGCTAAATAACTTGGCCAAAGGCATGAAGCATACCAGCCTGTGGAACCAAGACTCGAACCCAGGCCATGTGCCCCCTGACCCCATCCAATGTGCTTTTCTCTATACTTCACCAGATCCAACATGGGATAACTGACAATCATTGGTACTGCTCACCACACAGATATGTTCTAGAGAATTCTGTTTCAAGGGAGGATAAAAATGAAAGGGGCAAGGCATGCAATCACAATTAGGTTAAAGCTGTGTTTCATCAAATACATTCCTAGCTCATGGGGGGGCAGGAACACCCCCCCAAAACCGACACTGTGTATGACCAGAAAGACTTCTCTGCTGGGAGAGAGGTCCCCACAATTCTGTTCTTTATTTGACCTGGGCTCACTCACTGTAGCCGTCAGTCCCCAGCTTCTACCGTTATCAAGAGAGGAGATGAACAGAAATTTCTTTTTAGCTCTCAAATTCTACGCTGTGAATGCCTGTGTGTGCTTGGAGGCAGGGTGAGAGCAGCCACTCAAACATTTTGTTCAAATGAGAAGGAAATAAATTTGCAGTTCCTTCTTTCTCTCTCTTTTTTTAACCTTAGGGAAAAATCATCTAATTTAGCGGAAATTGTTTCAGTATGTCATTGTAAAAAATTAATTTGTGAAGTTTCTTGGCTGAATGTTTGACACGAAACGGCTGACAGGATGGAAGACTGTGAGGAAAGATTCAAGTGTGAGGTGACGCTGGGGGTTCGTGTGGAGGAAGGTCTCCGTGGGTCAGAAATATGGGTCACTGTGAGCCAGTGGGAGTTTCCTGGGCACCAAAGAAGTGGCTTGGAGGTATTTTATTTGCAAAGATAAAATGGAGTCTCTTCAGGACAATTAATTTGAGAGTCAGTATCTTGAAAGAAGTGAGACTGAGCGAATGAGAAAGGCACGTTGGAAACAATATGGCGAGCTCTCTCTAAATGGTTTCAGAAGCTGGAGCAGTAGGTGAGAGAGAGAGAGAAAGAGAGGGAGAGGCAGAGGGAGTGGGGACAGAGAAGACATGGAGGGGATACTCGTGGTGCCCAGAAACTAAACCCTCTCATGCTGAGGGAGATGGAGATGAGGAGAGAGAGAGATTGGATTTCAAGAAGGCATCATATCCCTGTCTCTGAAACTTGGCCTTCAGGAAAAAGTTAGGTCCATTCTGATTGAGCCCAGGACAACATCCCCCAGGGCCACTCTGTGTCCACTGAGGCAGCAAGCATGCCGGGAGGTCGTCTGTGCCGTTGGGCAGGGGCAACCATGGGGCAGGGCCTGCCTCACCATTCTCTGCCAGCTCAGGCACAGGGCGGTGGGTTAGGCTGGCTGAAGTCACTCCTTTAATGACCATGAACGGGAATATAGAAGACAAAAATCTGCAGAGACGGGGTCCTCCCAGTCATATAGCTCAGGATTCCTTATGGGTCCCCTCCATAAACACGGGGCAAAGCTACCCACCCCGACCTGTGACTTTCCTCCTTTGGGGTCAGTAAGACTCCTGCAAAGGGTAGCAAAGTAGACTTCACCATGATTTAGAGCTGCTTGTATTTCCAGGGATAAGAGAGGAAACTTTCAGTGGCTAGAAAATCACCGATTTTAAGAGAAATTTTTTTCAGTATCAACATGAAATATAATTTAGGGACACTTGTCACAGCCCAGATTTTGGAATCAGGAAGGAAGGCGGGGTGAAGGGGTTCGTTAAAGTGGCATTCAGCGATATCAGTGTTTCTGGGTGGAAACAGCTGTCACAAGAGGACTGAGGGGAAGTCAGAAAACATGGGTGTGAGTGGGATCCATGGGATTTTCTGCCGAGCCGTCATGGGAATCAGAGTTATATTTGCAGATAACAGGGGATTGTTGCATGCTCTATATTTTACTTTTTTTTTTTTAAAGATTTTATTTATTTTTTATCAGAGAGAAAGCCCAAGTAAGCAGAGTGGCAGGCAGAGGCAGAGAGAGAAACGGGCTCCCTGCTGAGCAAGGAGCCTGATGCAGGACTCGATCCCAGGACCTTGGGATCATGACCTGAGCTGAAGGCAGCTGCTTAACCGACTGAGGCCCCAGGTGTCCCCATGCTTTATATTTTAGACAGAACACTAAGGTGTCAGGAAACAAATTTGGAGCCAACAGAGAATGGCATACTGAGAGATAATTATGGCACTCTCAACCGAACTTAGAAAGCAAAAGCCAATGGAAGGAATGAGCTTGGAGGGTAGAGTTTAGAGAGATCATGGACACATTTCTTCTGGGCAGTAGATATCAATGGTGGTAAAGGGGACCCAGAGACCCAAGGGGCAGAAATTTACCCCAATGTTCCATGGGCCCTCGGTATCAAAACCACGATTTTCAATCAAAGTACTGAGTGTCAGCACTTTCCTTGCTCTGTGGTCTTGGGCTCATCCTACGTTCTCTTAGAGTCCTGGAATCACACTTCCTTCTTAAGAAAGGGAAGTGACTGATTCTAGGACAAGTAGGAGGCTGATCACTATTGTCCTTTGAAAAAGAAGAATTTAAAAAAAAAAAAAAAAAAAAAGAGAAAGGCCAGTAGAAAAACTTGAGAAATGTTCTTAGTATGTTTTCCTCCATAAGAGAAACAGAGCCCGTTGCATGGCTGCGAGGCTAAGTTTGAGAAGAGCGGTCATTTTCGGGAGCAGAGGGTGGTGGGGTGGGATTTCTGCCGCCTTATCCCCTGCTTTGTGTCATCAGAACATCAAAGGCATTGGAAAGTTGAAAGCAGTAGCTCGTGCTCCCTGTACTCAGAGGGCACGTCTTTTCATAAGACGAAGCAATACACAGAGCCTACTCTGTTAGCAGAGTTTTTCAGTAATATCCCTACTTCCTGACAATCATCATTCATGTCCCCTTACTTCCCAGGAGGGAAGGGGTTCCGACCACAGCACACACTCACATAGTTCTGCATCAGATCTGGGTGGGTTCTCTCAATGCCGTCATCCAGGATGGTCACCACGATGTTCTTTCCCGTGTAGCCTCTCTTCCAGGCTCCTTCAATGTTCATGTCTGATTGGCAGGGATGTGTGTTGTCACTGCAGTGCTAAGGAAGAAGGAGGGAGAATTAGCGTGGAGGACTAATCATCGGAAGATGGGAAAATCACCTCCTTGTGGAGGTAATGGAGCGCATTAATGGAAATGTGGAGGTGGCCCAACGGAGCAGGAGCACGGGTCTCTAGCATAGTAACAAGAGAAGGTGGGAAGGGTAGATTGGGGAAGGCAAGTGGGACAGAAATCTTCTGCCAGCTCTGCCCTGTCCTAATGCTATAGATCCTTTAGAAAAAATAGAGTCAAATAAATTACATCCCAGTGGCACAATTGGGGGTGTGTCATTTTATCGTAGCACGTATTAGTGGCACGTAAAAAGGCATTGTAACATTTCTGTTTTTTTTTTTTTTTAAGATTTTTATTTATTTGACAGACAGAGATCACAAGTAGGCAGAGAGTTAGGCAGGGGCGGGGGGGAACAGGCTCCCCATGGAGCAGAGAGCCTGATATGGGGCTCAATCCTAGGACTCTGGGATCATGACCTGATTGGAAGGCAGGGGCTTTAACCCACGGAGCCACCCAGCCACCCACATTGTAACATTTCATTCATAAACCCAAACTAGGCAAGGGTAGAACACCCATTTGATCCTTCCTTCCTTCCTTTCTTTCTTTATTTATTTAATTTTTTGACAGACAGAGAATACAAGTAGACAGAGAGGCAGGAAGGAAAGGAGGCTCCCTGCTGAGCAGAGAACCCGATACGGGGCTCGATCCCAGGACCCTGGGATCATGACCTGAGCTGAAAGCAGAGGCTTTAACCCACGGAGCCACCCAGGCGCCCACATTGTAACATTTCATTCATAAACCCAAACTAGGCAAGGACAGAACACCCACTTGATCCTTTCTTAACCAGGCGCCTGGAAGCCAAACAAGCCAAAGCTGAGAACTCAGGCAGCTTTTGGACGGTGTCAGCTGGAGAGGGGCTACTGTCAGAAACCATGAATGAGAAACAAAGTAACAGATTCGTCAGATCCCTTTTGTGGAATTAACCAGAGCTGTCACACCAGGACAGGTAGGGGGCAGGCACACTTGGTCAGGGGTATTTGGAGAAGGGAACGAGCAAGGGGACAGGAATGCGTGCCATGGTCAGAGGGCAGGCAGGAGAAACATCGGGTCTTAGCTCATTAGGTTCAGAGTCATTTGGTTCCACAATGGCTACAACTTATAAACATAGTAAGAAATGCATGAAACCAGCAGCTTTTCCTGTTAGACTAACATTCATCCAATCCACACAATGACCCCTACAAGTCCACCTCTTTGAAATATCCCTAAGGGGTGTTGTTTCCCAGGTTCTTAAGACTTCACAGAGGAGGGGCGCCTGGGTGGCTCAGTGGGTTAAAGCCTCTGCCTTCAGCTCAGGTCATGGTCTCAGGGTCCTGGGATCGAGCCCTGCATTGGGCTCTCTGTGCAGCGGGGGGGGCCTGCTTCCTCTTCTCTCTGCCTGACTCTCTGCCTACTTGTGATCTCTGTCTGTTAAATAGATAAATAAAATCTTAAAAAAAAAAAAAAAAAGACTTCACAGAGGAACAAAGGAGAAAAGACGTGCTGTAACATAATGCCGTTGTGACATGGGCCACCCCGGACCTTACCATTCTGCATTTTCTTGCTGCCTTTGTAACAGTTCAGATCTTCGGGAGTGGGAAATAATGCCAGCTTTATAGGCTCTTGAGTATAATGGAGACCCCACTGCCCCTGACTCAGTTTCCTGAGCACCTACTACCGGCTGGGGTATGGCGGCAAGCAGGCAGGTAAGGTTCCTGTCCTAATGAGCCTTCCAAAGGAGAGACACCATTCAGAGCCCTCCTTGGGTTTTAAAGGAATGAAAGAGGGTGATATGACGGCTAATGCCAGGGGACCAGGGCTCACGACTCTCTGGTCTCAGGAAGTGAAATCAGAGCTGATGCATGAATGGTGAGAAAGAGCTGCTCTGCCCAACAGCCTAGACATTCGTCTCTTCTCGGTAGAGGACACAGTCAATGCCAGGGTAACATAAGGTGGGGAACAGCTTAGCATACGGAAGAAAGAGAAAGAAGGTGGTGTATGGCTGAAGCTCAGGGAATGAGGGACAGAATGGTCTGGAAGACAGCCAATCGGAAGCAGAAGAGAGGTCAGACCATCCAGGGCTTTGTAGGCATGACTGGGCTTTTGTTCCAACAACAACCTAAAGCAACGGAAGCTCATCTTTTTCCGAACGTCATCCATCAAAATCTGGTGCTAATGAGAGACAGATGCGTCTAACAGCCTCTGATAAGAATTTGTAAATTTATTCTCCAAATGAGACTGCCTTTCGTCCAATGTTATCAACACACTTGACAGTTTTGAGGATTCATTCTCACAGAGGGTGTACCCACTTTGCACCGCAGGTAATATCAATTTCGTGGAGGATGAGGGCTTATATGTTTTTTGAACATCTGTATCTTTTCCTCACCTTCTTGACTTCTTTCTGGCATTTGAGGCTCTGCACACACCCACACATTCACTCTACTATGACACTGACCCAGATTCCACTCTCTCCACCTCCCCCCAGTTTTCCAGGCGTAGCCCAGCTCCTACACTTCTTCTCACAAAGACTTCTCATGGACTTTAGCCAACTCATCAGTCTCTATTCCATCCCTGAACTCAAGGATATAGACAGACAGACAGACACAGACACACACATTCTGTCCTACACAATCCAATCCCTAATAAATCCAACCCCTTAATAAATTCTGAACTGCTCTTGACTGTTGGATCTTGTATGTGAATTTTGTCTTACTGACTGTAAGCCCCTCTAAGACTACGCATTAAACCAAGTCTAACCTGGGACTGTGGTAAATACTGGGCCGACAGATCACATGCCAGAAGTGAGGGCATATCCTCAACCTCATTTCCAAGTTCACAGCTGCTGTGATGCTCGCTGCTCCAACCTTGTCAGGGATGCCTAGCCAGCTAATGCTTACTTAATGGAGATAATCATGAAAGAAATGATTTCCGAAATGTCTACGTTTTCCAGATGTCTCCTTCTGGCCAAGAGTGTGGGCCTCTCCTCACCGAACACTTTAATGTAACAGAAAGCAACCTTGACAGGTTTCCACGTCATTTTCCCTTTCTCAGAACCTGTTCTGGCCACCTGTGGTATCGTTTGTGACATGAAGTAATGTTAATGTGGCCAAGAGGTGGGCTGGAGGAAGGAAATGTGCAGGAAATGGGTAACCCACAAATGAGATAGCCATCCTGGAGTGGAGGGATGCTGCCTGAAATTGTAATTATGAAAACTGAAGAAAACCAGCTGTCTATGGAAAACATGTGTGTTAAAAGTGAAGCAATTAGGTTTCTTTCTTCCACCTTTGCCCCTGTTGAAACCGACTTTTACAGATTAAATATTTTTGTACCATCTTTTTTCTTTTCATCTGCCAACATGGAAAGGGAAGGAGGGGAAACAGCCAATTCATTCGGATCATCTAATATAGCAAGTGGCCAACATGTCAAAAGAAAAAGAAATCAGGGCCTGGGGTGTTTCCTGCAAATGAGTAGTAAGGTTAGAGGACCCTTAAATCAGAATCCTAAATTCTGAATGTGATCTTTAGTTTTTTTTTTTTTTTTAAACACACATTTCCAGTGGTCTAGGCTTCCAAACATGTTTCTGATGTGGTTGTTTCATACACCCAAGGTATCCAGAGAGCAAAGACTATGGAATATACTGGTGCCAGTCAACAATGACCCAAGAGGAGAATGAATTAATCACTTCCTTAACTGCCTCACTGAAATGGTCTCCAAACTGGGCCCTATTTCCTTGACACGAATCGATGCTGTAGCATCACCCGAAGGCAAAAAGAACATAGATTAGTTCGAATTTCCTCAGACATAGTCAATCAACGTTGAGAAGATCTCGGCCAGAGCTGAACTCAAGGCTAGTTTCCAGAAATGTGTCACCATATATGTGGTCTACAGACCGGTATTCAAAAAGAGTCCACTCAGAGCCTCCACGATCTCTGAAGATGATGCAAACCACATATATGCTCAGTATATATAAATACTTACAGTAAATGTATTCACCTTTGTTTCTGAATAATGTACTATATTTTCAATGATGGCCTATGCACAAGTGACTAAATATTCAGAGAAATGACACAAATGGAAAATAGGAACGATGCTTGCCACCTGCATCTCTCACTTCCTTATCCATAAAAGCTTTTATTTGGGAATGCAATTTGAAGGAGTTTGCTCTGTGGGCTCTAGAAATGACCTTTTCCATACCCGGATTATGAGCTGTTCTGCTTAAGGACTAGTGCACAGGACCATAGGGGAAGGGAGGGAAAACTGAAGACAAAGATATCAGAGAGGGAGGCAAACCATGAGAGACTCTGGACTCCGGGAAACAAACTATGGGTTAAAGAAGGGAGGCGGGTGGGGGGATGGGGTAACCGGGTGATGGGCATTAAGGAGGGCACGTGTTGTGATGAGCACTGGTGTTGTATGCAACTAAGGGACCACTGAACACTACACTAAAAACTGATGATGTACTATATGTTGGCTAACTGAACATAATAATAAAAAATTAAAAAAAATAAATCACTCTGGGTGTGTCTGCTTTTCTTGTGTTTTCACGAACACATCACAGTGCTTGCTCAATGAAAGAACAGTTTCTACTAAAAATAAACACTTTTGTTATGTTTTTGCCATCCTTTTATTGGGGGATGGATGGGGGATGACTCTCAATGTCATTCTTTTTAAACTTCTCCAAGTTCTGAGGGTCTTCAGAGGACCCTTATATGCTGCCAACAGCTCACTCACTAACATTGAAAACATCTCTTGTTATTATCAATACAGTGGCTCCACAGACTGCATTTCTGAGAATACACGCTTTGTGAGAATGCAGAATACACAAAAATTCTGTTTTATAGACAAATTCAAAAACATAGCTAGTCAACCTAGTACAGTGTATATATACTTGAAATTCTTTGTAGAAGCTGGAGTCCAAAAGGTGTAAGAAATTAAAAAAAAAAAAAAGCAAAA